GATAACCTTCCCAAGTCTACTACCCCTCTGACACTGTACAGAGCTATCACAATACCATTGACTCTATTCCCCATGCTGTATTTTACATCCCATGATCATATATTTTTAAAATTATAGTTGCCACTCAAGATTACTTAATATCAGTTTCAGGTGTACAGTGCAGTGGTTAGGCATTTATATAACTTATGAAGTGATCCCCCTGATAAGTCTAGTACCCATCGGACACCCATCTTTACACTATTATTCACTATATTCCCCATACTGTATTTCACAACCCCATAACTATTTTGTAATTGGACTTGGTAGAAATAATGGATGATGACCACACACACAAAAAACCCCAACCTTATGATGGCAAAAGCAGTGACTGTTAAAATTACACTAAATGAGGATTCAGATACTGGTTTTCATTATACAATTTTCTTCCTAATACATGAAGAAAATTGACCTTGATGGAAATTATTCCAGTAAAATGAACATGGAGACAAGTAAAAAATATTTATTTGGATGTATAGAAAGTTGGACAAGGAATTATATTTGGTCTAAATGGAATTCAGTCTAGAAAATAACTATTTCACAGGAAAATCATCAGTGCTCTTAGAACTCTGAGTAAAATGTTGCTGTTCAAAATATCCTCAGGGTAAAAGTGTTTCAGAGGTCAAAACATCATATTAACTCAATTTATTTGCATGGGGTTGTGCAAAATAGTCTTATGACTTAAAATGTTTTTCTTTTGATTGTTTATTTTCTCTGTTCATTTCTACATTTGATTATATGTGTTTTCTCTTCCATTCATGGCTCACATATGTCAGTACTCTTTAGAAGGTTAATGTTAACCATTTAGGAAAGGAATGATACTCATTTATGCATATGATGTTTTGTGTATAATAGGAAGTTGAAAATATTTCTCTGTAAATAAATACAAAATCAACCAGTCATTAAGTGCACAAAATCTTTTCCCCTCGTAAAATCAGTCTAATTTTACTTATATAAATACCTTGAAATTTAGTAAGCTCTGTACGAGCAACAACCCTTCATGTTCTTTTACAGAGAAATGATCTCAGTGGAGTAAGATTTTATAGTATTTGTGGATTCGTTTGAATTTGTGCTTTTCTTTTAATAAGAAAAGGAAAATGGTCTCATTGGCTGGAAGCCTGGGAATCATGTTTTCTTTCTCATTTACTCTGTGATTCACCATATTGTTTTAGGCAAGTCACACTGTCTGGGTCTTCACTATGTCGCCTTTCTCGAGAAGCCAAATTGTACTTGAAGGATCATCTCTGCTCCGAGGCTGTGAGGACCCAGAAGGTCGTGCTTGTGTTCCATCTACAGAGGGTGAATGTGAGGCCAGGGCTTCTCATCACATCAGAAATCTAGAGTCGAATGCCCGGAGGGCTGGAATTGTGTCAGGCAGCCCACTGTGACTTCCCGAGGTGACTTGGCGATAGTGTCAGAATGTCTTCCTCAGTGGTGACTGCATCCTGGTGCCTGGTGGACGAAACGTCTCCCTTGGGAGGAGGTTTTGAGAATCACCTTGGAGGAAAGGGAGACCCCTTTGGTTCTCTGAGAAAATGGCTGTTGGGATTGGTCCGCTGAGATTTTAGTCACGGTAATTTCTGGGCGTGGACAGATGGAGCACAGCGTGATGGACAGCAGCCAGGAGCGGTTCCTTCGGTCTCCCGGCAAGGCCAGTGGTGTGAAGTGCCCGAGTGATCTGTCTGGAGCCACCTTGCAGGGTGTACTTAAAGTCCAGGTGATTCACTATTCTGTGTTTGGACAACTAGACCAGGGCCATACTGACTTCGCCTGCTGGACAGACACTTGCATCTGTCAGACACACACACACACACACACACACAGCAGCAGCCCTGTGAGGTCGGAAGCACCATCTCTGGTTTTATAGATGGACTTTGGGCAGTCGGAATGCTCAGCTGATTGTTCACAAATACTCATGGGCCTCTCCTCCCACGCAGCCCCAGGGAGGAGCGAACCCTCCCCTCCTCACACTGATGTTGGGCTTGGCCATGGGATGCGCTTTGGCTAACGGAGTGTGAACAGATGTGAAATGAGCACAAGCCTTCAGTGTGCTCGCGCAGTTTGGCTTGGCTTTTATGCACTAAGATCTGCCATCAAAAGAGCTTCCCTTGGGGGGCTGCTGCCTCTCCAGCCTGGCCCCCAGAACAAAACATGTGCAGAGACCTCAGTTTCACCTGAAACTCAGAGCCAAGCCCAGCTGACCCACAGCCTGAAACAGACCAGGACTGACCAGCTCCACGGTATCAACATGTAAGTTCACAAACATGAGAGTAAACACTGGTAATAAGCCACGGAGCTTGGGGTGGTTTGTTACACAGCGTTACTGTGGGGATAGCTAGCTGATACAGAGGGCTGTGTATTTCACCAAAGTCAGGGGGATGCTTGATTCCAAGCATCCAACTTTGCTCATCCCCAAATTTCATGCTTTTAAAATCACACCATGTAGGGCAACCAGTATGGAGGAGGGAAATCAGGACAAATTTGGGGAACCGTCCCCTCTGCAGTACAGCTGGTTATGGAAGCTTCCAGAAGGAGCAATGACACAAGGGGAACATTACACAGGAGCTTATTCAGGAGAAGGGCTTGTTGACAAATTTCCCCAGATTTAGGTTTCCAGAAGATGTGCCACGTGAATTTTTTGCTCCATCTTCCCAATGGAAAAAAAAAATTACACACATGTTCATTCACATACTTCATCTGTGAACCTAAAACATTTCGATAGATAGGTCTATCTTGTATTTAAACTTGGCTGAAATACCGGTTTTCAATATTGTAGATAAAATCTACTACTCTAAATGTTAAAATAGTAGTATTTCACAGGAGAAAGGAAATTACGAAGCATGGTTATCACATGGGCTCTATCTATCCTCCAACCCCAAACCCTGAGCCCTTCTCCTGGTGTCATGTGGGCAGATGGTGTGGGGGGTGGAAATCACAATTGTGGGAACTGCTGAATGTCCGAACAGTCACCAAACTGAGGGGTGGGTTGATTTGCTTGTATTTGCATTTCTGTCCATTTGGTGGGTATTTCTCCTCTCTCCTTTGCTCATGACCTAAGTTAAGGAAATATATAGTGAATTAAATGAGATTTAGGGAAGCACTAAATCAGCAGCAACTAAGTGATAACGAAAACCTTAAAATTGCACATGGAATTGGGGTGGGGGAGCGAGGTGTTACATTTCCATCTTTTTATCACTTCAAGAATAAGAATTTAGTGTTATAAGCAAAAATATAAAAACTAATTTTTTAAACACAAAGCTCTTGAATCATGGTGATTCAAAAACAGATGTCTCGTAACTTTTATTTTGATTTTTTTTAGTCCACTGGGAAATGCTGTGTGCATGTTTATGAGAATCCTATGAATTAAAAAAAAGGGGGGGTTTCCCATCTGAAAAAGACACACAGAGTCCCTCCTGTGTGCTACAGCCTCTGCACGTGTACCGTGAAGTCACAGTTCTTTGTGGAAACGGAAGTGGAATTTCCTACTTGCTGCCCACGCACACATGGCGGGCGCTGGGCCAAGGACTTCTTATATGCAGCAGTGAGTCACACCACAGCAGCCCTGGAGGCCTGCGGTATAATCTGCATTTGCAGACAGGACTCAGAGGAGTTACTTTCCCAAGGACATAACCAGTAAGTGATGGAGCTCAGGGTTGGACCCAAGTGTGTCTGTCTCCAAATTCCGTGCATTTCCCAGAACTCCAGGCCCCCTCCTCCCAGGCTCTTTCCTCCTCCCTGAGTCGAGGGTCAGAGGAGCGACCCTGACCTTTGAAGGACGGACAGGGCGCGTGCTCCTCGGGACAGGGACAGGCTGACGATACGACAAGGACCTCCAGCTCAGGCCATGTCTCTATCACTCATCCTGGACCTTATCCAGTTCATCCCCTCACCCCTTTTCTGTTTTCATTTTGGGGCTCTTTCACTAACTTATCTAGTGGACAGATGTGTGTGAGTCAATTTCCCTTTTGGTTAGAAATCAAATGGAAGCCTTTGTGTTTCCAGGGAGGGCATTTATGGGTAAAGAAGTTAACATAATGGAAGGTTGGAGGTTTTACTTTTTCCTTCTCTGCTTGCCTTTCATTAAGAGAGTTACTCATGATTTAGCTACAGTATCACAGAGACGTATATTTAAAAAATTAGCCCTGACTGTTTCAACTTTGAGTGGGAAATCTGATATTTCTTGTAATGTATTTTTTTCCCAACAGGACGCCAGTGTCAGCAACGGCTGTGTTGAATCACCAGTGACTTGGCAAATGGCTGTGATCAAAGCTAAAAACTAACACTTTAGCATGTACTCTAACGTCTGACACCACCTTTTTTGTTCTTCATATAATTATAATTTACAGTTGATTGAGCCAAAGATCAAGGGATTATGCTTGATTACTCTTTTCCCTCTTTCCTTGAAATCCAACACATCCAAAATCTCATCTGTCTCTTTATTTCTCCCCATTACTAAGGCCACCTCTGTGTCCCTGCCACCATCACTTCCCCTTTAAGTGAACTGGGGTGTTGGCCGTAGTGATGCCAGAACAATAGGTTCCAATGGGGACTGTGCCCCAAACCTAAATGTACAATGACCTTCCTAACACCCACCTTCTCCATGGGGGAGTCCAACTTCAGGCCCAACCCCAGGCAGTTACAGGTGGGAAGCTGCCCTCCTCTCACCAGTCTGGGGTGCAGTCAGTGCACTGCAGTCGTCTGGAGGGAGCTGCACCCCCAGGCCAGCCATATTCCCAGCACATCCTCCATTCACAGGCCTCTTTCTTAGGGACTCTTGGCTGAGGTACTTTTTCCCTCTCCACCCTCAGACTTCTCCTGTGTCCCTCCCATGGCCTGTGGGTCGTGAGGAGGCTGAGCCCACTTGGCAGTGAGCGAACTCCTCTGTGTGCTCCGTGTCCACTGGCCCCTGCGCAGCACCTTTCCCTGCGGAGAACACGGCAGCGGGGAGCCGATGCCTCTTCCTGCCTGTTGCTCGCACTGTTGCATCAGCGATAAAGCTTTGATGGCTATTTTCACAGTGGCTCATTGCCCTAATTGACCATGTGAACATTTAATCTACGCAGCAACCAAAGAGTCATCTTCTGCCTTAAGAATAAAATCAATGCTCTACCATGCATGAGAGGTTCTTCTGTCACCTCAGGGTTCCAGTCCCCCAGTTCCGTGCTTGTCTCGGGGTTAGCACAGGCTTCTTCTGCTCAACCTGCAGTGGCAAATGCTGACTTCCAAACCGCCGTGGTGGCAGAAGACAATACAAGGGCGACAAGGGGGAAGGGAGAAGCAAAGGCTGAACTTGCCTTTCTCCTAGCGAACCGCTGTCTTTCCCCCTTTTTTTCCACATAAGTACACACTGGGGTAGGGCTCAGCCTGGGGAAATTCAGAGAATTGAGTTGACTGCTCTGGGGCTGAGGAGGTCCACGAGCATCTTTGTAGATGCATCAGTATCAGTGATCGGTGTTCTGGGACCTGGGAACTCTCTGGGAGGATCAGTCCAGCCCGTATCACGGGGGACAGTGTCCTTAATGCAGCTACAATATTAATCATTCAAGTTTCTAGAAAATCCTATGGTCTGCCTTTCTGCACAGGCCTCATGGGGCTTCACAAGGCTTATTTGGCCTCAGGGAATAAAATTGACTTTTAAACACAGTCATAGCTTTTCCATTTCTTACTGACCTGGATTAATTTGGCCACGCCTGAGCTCACACCTATCAGCCACTCAACTTCTCTGGAAAAAAAGTCCTCAGGAAAGCGTTCACCCCTCATGCCTGCTCTGACTAACTCCGGCTCCGTGGGTGCCTCTCTGAACTGCGGGAATGCAGTGTGGTGGTCCCACCTGGCCTGGCTCTCTGTGTGTGGGTGCCCCGTAACCAGGAAGCAGTGGGTGGGTAGGATGCCTGGGGCCGAGGGCAGCCCTGAGGCTGAGTCACCCCATTCCCTGCCTCTTGACCACAGATATTTGGCTGTTGTCACTGCCCCTGCACAGAGTCAAGCTCTTGGTCCCATGGATGCCTTGGTCCCCCCAGGGCCCTGACAGTCCCACACAGCTAGACGTTTGTTCCTAATTGTTCACCCATCTCCCACTCCACCAGCGACTGGAATGTCCCACTGGGGGTTTGAAACCGCAAACTAAGGACTGCTGACCTAAGGAACAGCTATTTTTGCTCCTGAAGATTCTCAACGCAGAGAATGGAAGTGTTTATAGCTTGGCATTTGAACGAAGAGCTGAGTAGTCTTCTGGGGCCATGACGGGTTATTCCATTAACTCTGGGAATCAGACAATATTTTCTCAGCTTCTTTGCTGAAGGTTCCCAAGAAATTCAACACAGGGACACAGGAACAAAGATAGTTGCCTGGGCTTCAGGGGAGGGAGAAAGTTAAAAAGCAGTAGACTCAGGCGGCTTTGCCTGTGAGGTAAGGGAAGGCACTCTTCCATGAATCCCCCACAAATCTCGGGGATTTGGTGCACTGCCCTTAGCTCACAGCTATGAAGCCCATCCTTACAGATCCAACAGCCCCAATCCGCAGTGCGGGACCCTGTTCACTTCTAAGACATCAAAGACCAGTCATGCCCTTTTCTTGGGTTGCCTGAACTCCTCAGCTGGGCCTGACCCCTCACATCCAGCTTCCTTACAACGCTGTTGATGACAGCGGTTAACAGCATCTTGCTGTATTAGCCTGACAGCCACAAAAGAAAGTGCCAGACCCAATACAACTCCTCTTAGGGACAGCATCTGCCAAGGGCACATTTGGTGGCCTGGCCAGGCAGAAAGTTGGGCCTACAGAGGCCTTGTAGTGGTCGGTTGACTTTCCAACTCCAAGATATAAGGCATATGGGGTAATGGGTAGAATTTTCTAGAGAGTGTTGCAAGTGAAGTGGCATTGGCAATTCTATTAATACTTCCCAAGGCCATTTTCCAGCCATCACCCTTGCTTTCTAAGAATCAAGCCATCAGCACTACCACCTGCAAACTGCTCCACTGCACCATCTCATAAGGCTGATACGCATTCAGCATTCACCTGGCTTAGCGCAAGGACCCATGGGAGCTATTAGTGTTGCCAGCATCCTCCCAGAAGGAGGAACTGAAGTGTGGGGTGGGTGTGCAGCTCACCCAAGTACATACATCTGGGTTGAGACGGACCCGGGAGAGCCCACAGCCCATGTCACTAGGTTCCCGGGAACACCAGGAGGCAAATCTTCATGGGGACACCTGGATTGGGCGGGACCCCGTGGGAAGGGAAATCTCAGCCCCACTCCTGTTTGCTGTCTGTCTTCCTGCCCTCTCAGCTTTTCACACCGGCTTTTTGCCTATGTTCCCACCACCACCTCCTTTTCTGATGATCCCTGCGTTAATGTCCTCTAACTGCTGTGACAGAGTGCCACCTCCTTGGGGGTTGAAAATAACACACACTTATTCTTTAACAGCTCTGGAGACCAGCAGCCTACATCAGCATCACCGAGCCCAAGGCAAGGTGACAGCAGGTCTCTGCTCCCTTTGGGGGCTGTAATGCAGAATCCATTATTCACATTTCTCAGTTCCTGGTGGTGATCGCCGTCTTTCACCTGTGGCCATATCACTCCATGTCCTGCCTCCGTGGTCACATCGCCCTGTCACATTTCCCTTTAATTCCCTCTTGTAAGGCCCATCTACACAGTGCCAGACAACCTCCCCACCACAAGGTCTTTCACTGAATCACGTCTGCAAAGACCCTTCATGAACAGCCACCACGGGTCCTAGGGGTTAGGATGTGGATATCTTTGGGGGAGCCATTTTTCAACTGACCACAAATTCCAAATCTATAGCTTCATCCTTGACCTTTACATTGAACTGCAGACCTAAGTTTCTAATAGCCCACCAAACCCCTGAGGTCGGGGAGAGAAGGGCTTTGGACCTGCTGCAGGCCACTCCCTCTGTACAGTCACATTAATATATAATTCTGAGGCCTGGTGCCACAGTGACACAGGAGGACCAGGCAAAGTCCTGCCTGGTCCCTGAGGCAGGCCAGACTGCACTTACTCTATGAGAAGGGACCGACCACTAGAAAGCCTGGGGCCATCTCCCAGGTGACCGGGGCCTCGGGGATGCCTGCTAGATCTGTATGCCTGTGGTCTTGCTTTGTTTTCCGGTCGCTGCGCCGTGGTCCAGGTGGCGGAAGCTGTCTGCAGCTCTGTTCCGTCCTGAGCGCCCCATGTGGAATCATTTTCTTGCTCTGGCACATCTGGAGGGAGGGCTCCTCGCCATGAGTGGGGACTTGCTGGATCTAAGATACAACAAAGACATTGGAGGAACAAAAGACCAGAGACAGCAATGAAAAAGGAACTCACTCAGAGAAGAGAGTCTGTGTCAGGAGGGACCAGTAGGAAGTCACATGCCACGGTGGGACTCCAGCCAGACGGGTGTTCCGTGGGCCTGTGAAGACACCTCTCCCCAGATGGTGGGGCCCTCACCAGGGGAGCTCAGCACAGGTGTTGTGAACGGGGGTCCACTCTCGTACATAACATCTGGACCTCATCTCTGCTGGCTCAGCCCCTTGCCAAGAAATGAAATCTTCTGCAAGGAAGGGGGTTTGTGCACACAAATGCAGGTGTGGGAGAGGCCCCCGAGCTGTGGAGAAGGTTCTCTGTGTGACTTCTGGGAGTTTAGCATGAGGAAAGCACAGCTGTCTTGGACAGCCTTAGGAAACTGAATTTACACGACAAAAGGAAGGCCAAGGAAGCCATGGCGTCACCTCACTGGCCTGTCATTAGACCAGCTTTCTCTTTCTTTGAGCAAGAATTTAATGTAGGTTCCAAACGGAAATGGAGAATTCATACCATTAAGCCTCATTTTGCTGGTTCCTGAAACTCGACGTAAACGTGAGGAAAATGTTTGCTGTCCAGCCTCCCTCATTCCTAGCTTCTAAATCCTAATTCACGGCTAACAACACACCACAAGCTAGCTCCTCACCAGGAAAGGCACGAAGCCCACGGTGGTGAAAAGCAGTCATTATCACATATGCTTTTAATTCCTATGGAGCTTTAAGGAAAACACGTCTGTTCGTCCGCAGCTCGCCTCTGGGCTCCACCCATCTGCAAGACCAACATGAGAGCACTTGCCATTCGAAGCGCTCCTCTCTGCTTGTCTGCGGTCCTCCACGTGCAGTGGTGCTGGTAAGACCACGGGTGGTCCCCAGAGACTAAAAGCACAGTTTTGCATTAACAATCAAAGAGCAACCTTACAGGGTTTTCATGCTTTCAAGCAAAATTCTATTTTACTCTGCTTGTTTCTCTCTGATTGAAGTTTTAATGATCCTAAAATAAACCAAAATAAATCAAAATGTTGGGGAAACCTAGCTAATTTCTAGAGTATGGATCCTCTGCTAGCACTAAAATAGTGTTCTTCCAGCGACTGCAATGAAACAATGGAAATGGATAAGGGAGCCGATTGTCCCACCGACTGGGCAGCGTGACCGACTGGCTTCATGACCATCCTCATGGAAAGGTCTAGAATTGCAGCCAACTAAGCAGCTTCAAACCCATATTGAAACAAATCAGAAGTTCTTCTATCATTGATTGTATTGTAGTGAAGGGGAGAAACCCATAAATGTGGTTGGAGAGGGTGAACGTTTCGTTCTATTGTAAAGTGAGACCTATTTGAATTGGCTGCGCTTTCTGAAGTTGGCTAGACTTTGCAACAATAAAGGCTGGAACATGGCTGTCCTCATCATAAGAACCAGCGATAACACGCAAGTTGCAGTACAACACGGGAGATTGTGGTCTGTGTCTGTGAATACCAAAAGAAAAGTCTCCGTGTTTGTCCCTCTTCTTTCGAGCTACAAGTCGACTGCTTTGGTTTTCTTTTAGAAAACTTTGGGATTATTAGAAAGGGATTATTCCGGCCTGGGACCCTGACCATTGCTCCTTCTCCCCTATCTCAGGGTCAGTCTCATGGCTTGGCTCTGAACACTTCCTCCCCTGCAGCTGGTGGGCTCCAGGAGGTGGCGCTCAACTTCGGTTACCATTGAATTCACCTGGGGAATTTAAACAACGCTGAGGCCTGGGCCCCGCCCCCAGCATTTCTGGTTTACTTGGTCTGGAGCGAGGCCTGGGGATGAGATTTTTGAAAGCTCCCCAGGTGAC